ACTTAGAAATTTCTGATTAAAATTGTCCAGTCGCTGGTTAACGCCCTGGTCAATTGGATTTTCTTGCCAAATCAGCTGTTCTAGATCATTTTTAAACGCTTCAGAAGAATAATTCTTAAAACTTCTTATGACCATGTAATCAGGTAATTTCTTAGGCAATTTAAGCTTTAATATTGAATAAACCAGAAAGTGGTCACTGATGTGCGTTTTTTCAACTCCACTTTCCACTACCAAGCTTGTGTTAGATGTTAAAATCACATCGATGAGAGATGAGGACTGCAAAGTCACCCTAGTTGGTTCCTTGATAAGTTGGAATAAATTCAAGCTGCTGCACAATTCGTTCAACGCATCAGATTCTGGACCACTTTTTAATAAGTTACAATTTAGATCACCGACTACGAATATATCTTTTTTCAAAGTAAGTGCATATGAATAGTTGTCCATGAAATCGTCCACGAAACAGGAAACTGGACAGTCAGGAGGTCTATGAGCAACACATAGCACAATAGATTTCATTTTCTTATGTTGGATTAATATCCACAATTGATGAAAACCCATTGATGAAATTACAGATATATCCTTTATAATCTTTGTTTTCAGTGAGTTACGAGTAAAAACACAAACACCACCTCCACGTTTACCAAGGCGATCCAACCGCAACAGTCTGTAACCTTCAATTTCAACTTCTGAATTTTTTACTGTGGAATTAAGCCATGATTCCGATATCGTTAAAATGTCGTATTAAGTTCCCTCAACTGGATCAAATTATCTCTATTTTTCAGAGATCTGACATTCAAATGAGCGAGCTTTAGTTTTGAATTTGAGTGATTATGATTATTTGCGTCTTTGTTAGGGAAGGACAGTCAATGGTTTTCTTATAATTTTTAAATACAATGCAGTTCTCTGCGTTATGTTGCTTATTACAAAACATTCCAGTAGAATAAACACTCTTCAAATTTAATGTACGTGTCGTAATTCTGACAGGTATCTGTTTTTCTGTATCTGATGTGGGTTCGGAAGTTTTGACGTTGGTAGGTCCTTCACTAGCCTGCTCACAGGCTCTATTATATAGAGCCTGCGACTTTTATTGATATTTTTTCAATACGCCCCCTTTGAGATAATTGAATATCCGGTAAATAGTAGCCAATCAAAGCAAGTTTTGATAATTAGATTACCAGAGGTTATTAACAACAACAAACAGTTTCTCGCGCAATTTTACGCCTGTATCTTTCACTAGGATTCCAAGGTCTAAACTTTAATCTAAAATAATTCATGGTCGTTTTTTCCCTAAAGTGTTCTAATATTTAAAACATAGTCCTGTTTGTATATTGCTGTCTTGTTCGTACATTGCCGTTTTAAATTATGTAACTATACTACAGAGACGTAAAATTTTACTCTATTAGTTAATGTATTTTATATATTTATATCCAAAATATAACTGTAAGATTTAAGGAAACGTATTTAGGTTTTGAACAAAGTAACAAACACTATTTATTAAAAGTGTCGAACAATAGCAGGCGAAAAAACAACATTAATCATTATTGCGTGAAGTCTGTCATTTGCTCAATAATACAATTAACTCAATAGACAATAGACAATTTGAAAACCCGTGGCCGTGGCATCGATTCTGCCGTGTTTAATAACTACATTTTTTTTGTAAAAAGCTCTTGTTGTAATAATATATGTCACTGGTTGAGACTCCCAAAAATAAAGTCTCAAAGAGAGAGCGGACTTCGGTCAAAAAACACGCAAACGACTATTGCAAAATTTCCAGGTGTAAATTCAAATTGGCCAGGTATTCTAAGAACGACTTTCCTCGACGGCGTCTGTTTTAATAATTTGCCCATTGTCTTGACTTATTCAAGACCAGATTGTTTAGGCAGAAAGCCTTGGGTTGACAGGGAAGTATTTGGGAGAAATGTTCGGAGCCATTTGACAATCAACTGCTTTATACTAGCTGATTCACTGCCTGTGTCTCAACGAACGTCTCGCTGGGCTAACCTTAAGTTGTTCAACGTTTGAAACCGCAAGTGATGCAAACGCGGTTAGATGATAAATTGTCAGCCTGAACTAGACTTATTTTACTCTCTCTGCAAAGATCAGCAAGGCATACGTCGAAGTTTTCCCTTGTACTTCTTTGGAAAAGGTTTATTATTATAGCTGACAAAGACAAAGTATCGGTATATTACATGTAAACTTTTATCAAATCCCGTTGGAAGTACAGTTAATATTGCTAACCTTCGCTCATCCTTCAACGTTAATTTAAATTGAAAGTTTCAAATACATTCAGTTACTTCTTCGAAGAGATAAACAAAGTCATGGTTTTATACGCCACTGATTGCATGCCAGCTTTAAAATTACATTGCGAAATGTCGTACGAGTTAAATATTTGCACGATATTAACTCATGGGGCACTTCTGACCAATGGGAATTTTGCGTACGGAGCGTACGCATAAATCGACTTTTTACTAATAAAGGTCGCAGGCCGTTCCTCCCATGCAGCCTCTGCCTGACAACGGCCTGCGAGCAGGCTAGTCCTTCACTAGTTCCGTTAGTCAGTATTTTACTGGGGATCTCGTTGGTATTGACATCAAAGGAGGAGGATAAAGGGAAGGTTGGGGTGTGGGGTGGTATGTTCAGGAATGGACAAGGGGTTAAATGTTTTGGGTATTTGGATGGCGCTCGAATGGAATGATCAATAACGGGTCCAGAGGCGTTGCTATTAGTGCTATTTTGATGTGGGAAAGGCTGGCCCATCGAATTATGGTGGAGTCCTTGCATGTCACTATGAAATAGACGTTTTTGGTGTAGGAAATCACACACAGGACCTTTTTTACAGAACCCTCTTTTCTTCAGGAATGGACAAGGGGTTAAATGTTTTGAGTATTTGGATGGCGCTCGATTGGAATGATCAGTAACAGATCCAGGGGCGTTGCTATTAGTTTCGTCCATTGTTGGTTTGGTTTTACTAGTTTTATCTAGTTTGGTTGCTTCGACTGATTTGCGGTTGTCAACAACCTCAATGACCGAAACGCTAGGTTGATCGCTTACAGAAACGCTAGGTTGATCTTTTATTATAGTTACAGATTCATCGAGCGTACTAGATTCATTCAGTAAAAATGGTCCGCTGGTGTGGGAGGTATTTTTGTTAGGGTCGGTTGACTGATCTTTATCAATGGTCTCAGGATCATTAGAGAGGGTAATTTTCATACTGTTTTTGGGATTGTTGAACATATAATTATTATTCATTACATTGAATATTGAACTCTCAAGGGACAGTAAGCTTGACGTGAGGAATAAATTTTCTTCGCTAAGTTTACAAATCGCGTCGTCTTGCTTGCGAATAACGGATTCAAAATCTTTTTGCTTAGATCGCATAGAGTTAACTTTCGATAACAGATTGCTTGTAATATCTACCAAACTTGCAAAATCCGCTTTCAGGTTCGCAAACTGCGACACAGATAGTTCATCAATACTGACACAAACATCCGGCACCGATGGACAAATTACATCTGTAGCTTCGTGTGAAATGTTTACATTGCTCGGGCCCTGATCAATCAGACTTTCAAGATTCGACTTTAGGTTTTCCTCGGCATTGTCACTCTGTATAATCAGCTTTTTTGAACAAGGACCATGCCATTTGATGACAAATTCCCCTTCTCCATCGCTTCTGAAAACTTTGACGTCTCCTCCAGGAGATTTCCACCTGCCTTTTATATTTAATGCTTTGTTGATAAAACACTTTAGGTCTTCAAAAGTTTTAAGCCATCGGTATGTTTCATCATCATATGTTAGACCACTGAGGTCGTTCATAGTTGATTGAACGACGTTATATTGTGAGTCTGTAAATATATTCACGTAATATATTGACGAGAGCTTATTTGGAAATTAAAACTATTAATAATTTTAACGTAACCAGTTTAAAATGGTTAAAATCAGATAAAATTTGTAAAATTTTGCAGTGCTTAAAATTTAGCACCTGCCATCTTTGACGTGCTTCCACTTATCAGACGTGCTTCCACTTATCAGCTCCATATATCAGGAATCTGTTTGAGTGTTGAACGCGACGGGTCTTGCTCTCCAGCAAGTATATCGCAATACATGCCACAAGCTATTTTCAATGTGAAATGTTTTAAACAAGCCTTCTGAATTTTTCAAAGGTAAGGGACCAGTCATAAAGTAGCCAGAGAAAATTGTGCACTACATTAGGGGTGGCTGATGTGTAAATATGTTCCAATTTACACTGTTAATTAACCCATAAGCGACAACGCTCACCCCTTGAAGAGAAAAATAGTCTACAGTAAAACAATCTGGCATTAGACAGAGTAAAATAATAAAGTGGGTGCATCAGCACGTAATGCAACTCAATGGGTTAACTGTTAAGGATTATTCAAGCTCACACAATGCATGACCAACCCAAACTTTTCATATTACACAAACTTTAATGTATCGGTATATATGAACACAGTGTACTAAACTTGTTCATAAGTTTTAATGAAGGAAATAATTAGAGGACCAGTGTTCAAAATGGTTGTTATATACTCCGGCTCCTATCGTAAACATATATGTCAATAAATGTAAACTATGGAAACTACGATTATACAAACTAAAAAAGGTGAAATATTTTGTGGGACATGATATAAAAGGCAAGAGATTGAAAATGAGTAGGAAAGGCAACCCATGTACGTGTTTCAACCTAACAGTCTTCTTCAGCAGGGTTTTTAAGTTTTGTCTGCTTTGAATGACCATTTTCTGAGTTTTCCTTCATCTTTTCAGCTAAGTGATTATTAAAAATAATCACCTCGGTACATAAAAAAACTGACTTAATGATGAATTAATTTTGAAGTAGAGCAAATGACAGATCCTTGTAGAGCTAGTGTCCTCAATAGTACAGTGAGTTTAAATGATTGTGAAATAACGGCCGGTCAACAGACAATGTCCGACCAGAATGGGGAGTTGTCCGGTCAAATTCTTACCTTGCCGGTCATTTTGACCGGTCACTTTCGGTAAAAGAACAAACTAACCTTCATTTTATAATAATAATCAAAATAAAGTGGTCAAGTACAATATTATAATTAAGAACCATAACATGCATGTTGTCGAATATTTTGCAGGAAAACAACTTCAATGTACACCAGTTTTCGCACACAGTATGTCACAAAGCCCATGGCCATGGCCATGCCTTTGGCTTAAGAGCTAAGACCATGCTTTTAGCCCAGTACAAGCTGTTTTATGTGAAGGAATTTTTAATTACTGATTACAGTAAGGCTTTTTGTACTGGGAAAATGGTCACATTTTTAGGGGTGTACTTCACTAGGCTTTGCTTTAAGCTGAATAATTTGACCGGCCAGAAATTCGGTATGTCCGAGCTAAAATTGAGTTGGCCGGTCACCGTATAAAACTGAATTTGAAACATGTAAAAAATATCACCAATAGAAAGTGATCCATGAGTTTCCCGCCTTTTGTTGACTTTTAGCAAAGGGTGGGTCATTAATTTTTGTGCATGACTTTAAGGGTGGGCCATTGATAATTAAGTCTTATTCCAGGGGTGGACCAAGGAAAAATATACAGTTGAAAATTTGATTTCTCCAGCCCCCCCCCCTATACTTTATGACTGGTCGCTAAGCTCCTCTTTTCCCACATGCACAAATTCTTGAGGCCCAACACACAGATATTTTTTAGCTTTCCCACTGAATTGCAAGCTTAATCTCTGTACAACTATCTTATCTTTAGATTTTTTAGACTCTTTGGTATTTTCGTGCTTTTTTCCAATACTTTTTTCCTTCATAGCTTCCACTTCTCCCAATCCTCAAGATTTTCTTTAGGAAATTTCGAAATACACGATCGCATTGCATTCCGGGTCTATGGCAACGATAGGCCATGGGGAAATTTGATTTTAATTTAAATACAGTTTTGCTTTCATTTTGTTTTGAAAATATAATTTTTATTTTTTAAATTTCAAATTGATTGTATGTTGAAATGATTTTGTTTTTTATATATTTTTTAATTTTAAGTTTATGTTTTTTTTCTTATGGCAACGATCGGCCACCATACACATTCAAGTGCCGAAGCAGAGAATATTTTGGCGGTTTTGGGTAAGTTACTGACTTAAATCTTTTTTCTGATGATTTATATTTCATTCATAAAATTAAAAAACTTTTGAATTAGTTAAAATTTTTTTGCATGTTGATAAAATTGATCGAAATATTTGTCCAACCTGGTATAATTAAATTGTCAAAATAATAAAGCAGTTCCTGCTACAATCTGTCTAATATCTTTACAATCATTCAGGTACATGTTTCTTTTAACTCATTAAACGGCAATGCGCCTGCTTGCGCCCTGAAATGACACCTTAACTGGCAGGCATGATTACTAAGCACATGTTTATTGGGTTGCCTATCAACAGATACAAAAACAGAACGTGAATTTTGAGCTTTTCAATGGTGTATCATGCAAGAAAATCGCTCAAAAACTTGTAAAGTTTTTCAAGTTTAAAGTTTAAGTTTTTCAAAAATAATGCATAATGATTTCACAGCAGGGATTTCACAGCAGGTTTTAAAAGCAAAAAAAGAGGAGGTTTTCGAATGATCTACAATGTTTGGCACAAAATGAAAGTGAATATATTGACGTTTTGGGTCATGTTCTTCTGTGAACCATGCGCAAGATTTTCCAAACTTTATCAAAAATAGAAGTCTGAAATCACAAGAAATAAAATATGAACACGGAACAAATTGGTTTTTATATCCCCATATGGCTTCCTTCGTGGGAAGCCTTGAAATTGAAGTCCTAACAAAAACATAATTGAGCAGTTCTTTCAGGCCCATTGCTCACTTATTTATCATGAAATCGCTTCATTAGAAGATTTTTATGGTAAGATAGCACGCACAACAAAATGGCACTAATGTGGTTTCTCATGTCTGACAAACAACCAAAGATGAAAGTCCTTATTTCACCTTTTTATTGCTATCTTGAATACCTGAATATTAGGTTATCTTTTTCATTTGAGCACACAGATAACCTTGACCTCAAGACCACCATAAACTAAAATACATACAGTAAAATACATACATTTTGCATTTCTTCAGCGTTTATATCAATGGTGTATCCCATTGTATTTATATCTAAAACAAAATATAAAAAAGATTTACATTGTTACTAGCTTGGCTTACGTCAGTGAACGTCAAAATGTAAAGTTTCTTATACTGTTATATAGCTGGACTTTTGCACTGAAGAGCATGCAGCACATGTGATTGGGATTCAAAAATATTTTTTAGTGTTATGTCTGAGATTTTCTCTTTTATTTCTTCAACAAGATCTTGTAAAACTTATCTATCCCTCACTTGACAATTCAACTTGTGGACCTCTCTGCAACATACTGGCTTTCTGGCTCGTCTGTACTTCTTCCCAATGCTTTTTATATGAGAACAGATAAATAAATTATTAATAAACCAGTTATCTCATGTATGAACTGTAGGGACTATTGGAGGGTTTGATAAGTCACACGTGAACCATAATTGGAGAAGTTTTCGTTATTTTGTAAATGTTACTATATTTGATTGATTGATTTGATCCAAAATAAATTTAGATTAAAATTTAATTAACTTCGTCTTTGATAGCTGTTACCAGCAAGCTTACCATAATCTATTTTGTACAGTAATCTTTGGTCGAAGCTATTTCTCGGACATTTCAAAGCCTTTAGACTCTTTGTGTTGGTTGCATTTCTACCACTCATATCTTTTATTGTAGCATTGCTACAACCAGCTATACTGTGATACTTTGAGGTTTCATTGTGTCACAAAATTTGACTAATGCTTTGTTGATATCCTGTTTTGGTATAAATTAAAAGCAATAGATATATTATTTCCTATGATTTGAGCTGCATTAATTAATATTTAAACTTGAGTTTACAAATGACCATTTAACTCTCCTGCAATTCAACACTGAGAATGTTGACATTAGTTGACATTGTATACAGAACTCAAGTTCTTTGAACATCCCCTTTTCCAAGAGTGCAACTGGTCAAAGGAGATTTTATTACTGCGCTGTGTCCTTATGGAACGAACTTCCGGAGAACATTAAATGTAATTTAGTGCAGAGCAAATGTTCAAATGTTATGGCTAATTTGAATTTGAAAGAGTGTACATTTTTTTAATACACCCTGTATATGTTAATTGGCTCCGAAAAGCCCCGTTGGGGAGAGTCCAATAAATTATTATTAACATATTTCAAATAGGTGTTTGGATTCCTGACTTTGGATCTTTGTGTACTCCTGCAACAGTTCCTTTTAAGCTAGGAAACAAATTTTTATTTTCAATATAAATAGAATACATGCAGTATTTCACACATTATTAAGGCCACATAAAATAAATTCCTTGATTCTCATCACTACACTTTGAAAATGTCGAAGAGGCAGGAGGTTTATATTTTATATTTATATAATTTAATATATATCAATAAATAAAAGTATCACAAACTGAAATAAACATATTTCTCCATGAACAATGACTGGCCCTTGAACTGAATGTGAAGTTCCGTTAAAATGCAATGAAATTTCTTTCAAGGTTCTATTTGTTTGAAATTGGCAGTTTAAAATGGCACTAAAAACCCAATATAAAATATAAAAAACTTAACTGTCTTGAAATATTTTGTCGAGCGGTACATTTATATTGTGTAACAAAATATAAAAAAATTTCACGCGGCTCTTAAAATACAGTCCGGCGGTGATGAGAATCAAGGAATTTATTTTATGTGGCCTAACCCTGACAGTAATGTTTTTGTTGATTCAGCTTCACATATGTAGCCAATATGTAGCCAATCAATACTAACAAAAATAATGAAGTCGAAATAAATTGTACCAAATGTATAATATTTAACAATTATTCGCCAAAGGCAAGGTAATTATTAGGGAATATTTGCCAATAATCACCAAGCCTGAAGCAAATAATTATTTTAGTATTTTTACACAAGTCTTTTGTGTTTTTTTTTGGGACTGAAATTATTTTAATTTCACTTATTTCTTATTTCTTTCTTTTTCCACGTAACTCTGTCAGCAACTTCCATTTTGGTTTTGTTATATTCACCTACAGGTGAATATAGCAGCTCAATACGTCAAATTTGACCAATCAACTTGTAGGATTTGTTATGCTCACTTGTGGAAAAATACTAAAGTTAACAGGTTATAACATTCTTTTTCTATTAAAAAGTCGATATGGTAATCTATTAAATTTATTATTTTTAAGTACATGAAACACCTTGAAAGAGTATAACTCGTGTCTCTTTCATGTAATCTGGCCTGGATGGCCTCTTGTAACCTTGCCCTTAACGGTAGATCCAAATCGGAAAGAGTAGTCGAAACAAATTTTAATATTGTCCTCGGTAAATCTGGATCAAGTTTTGCGGTGACATGAAACTATAAAAAAGGTTAAAAATGTTGTAAATATGCTATATATATGTCATATGCATAAGGCATCGTATTTAATACGATTTGTAAAATTAATTTCATATGGTCAATTTTCTATAAAGAAATTATTTCAGCATTAATTTTAAATAAGCATCTGTTAACAAATGTTTAATTTACTGCATGAAAGGAAAGTATCGTTCAATGACAAAGACTGTTTAAATATTAAAAAAATCTTACCACAACATAAACCAGCATCATAAGCTTGACACCCCTTATACCATCTCCTTTGCTGATTGGGGACAAGTTCACTCGTGAATTTTTCAATGACATCAACATCAAATTCTGCACATACATTATGGTAGCGCATAATCCACACTAATAAAAATTCCTAAATTTAAAAAAGGTTAAATGACATTAATTTGGGACACTGTCCCCGGATTCGTTTGTCACAAGATCAGCACTGGCAGTTCAGGAGTAATGTTTGTGAATTGTGTACAAATTTTACACTATTCAGTTTTTATTTTATCGTATAATCGTAGTTTAAAGTAGCCAGCATTCTGAACAGTGTAAACATAAATTCAGGTACAGTGTAAAATGCGGCCTAATGTGAACAACACATGGACCATATTTTCTTATGTTCACATTAAATAATTTAATTTCTTTTAAATGTTACTGATTTAGGTTTTCATTTCGCTACGTCATTTTTTATTTTGCTGTCTTTTCCAAGTCCCAAGTGACTCTGTATGTTTTGCTGCTGATTTACACCCTCCCCCAAGAGCAAAATATGCATGTATTTGCAAAAGATTTATAGTGAAACAGATGAACATGCCTAGAGTTTACACTTGTGTTACTTTGTATGTGTTAGTACTTAGTAATATGCAAATGTACACTACATTAGTACATTACCCGGTTAATATCAGCAAAATTTTCCAGGCGTAACAATTCTTTTTCATTGTCCTTATTAAATTTGGGATCACTTACATAGTCAAGCCAAATAACATGTCCATCTAACATGCAAACACAAAAAATGACGATTTTGTGAAATATAAGTTTGCTGCGACTAACATACTTAAATATTAATTAATACTCTAAAGCTACAATCCTGGACAAAACATCTGCGACACTTCCATTTACTTGACCAAATGTCGTAATATCATCGTAAATTTAGAAAACCTCCACCTTTCCCCCACCATTCAATGTTGACTGCATTCGTAGAATACGGATGAAAGTCCAACATTGTTTTGGGGGGTGGAGGGGGGCAAACGAGTAAATTATTCCGGTCTAACTGGTAAAAAAATCCACAAAGGAATGTTTTAATAGGGTGTCGCAGATGGTTTTGTCCAGGATTGTAGTTTATTATGCACTGGTCTATCCATATCTGATTTTATGGGGGAACCTAATCTGGGGTAATACATATAAAACAAGAATTCAAAAGATAATGAATACACAAAAGAAAATTATGTGCATAATGACTTTTAAGTCATACTCTGAACACACTGTAATAACAACAATCGGTGTATAAATGATCATAAATTTTAAGAGATTATGCAGATAGTTGCGATGATTGTTAGGGGCCGATTACATGGAGAACTTTCAACCCCGGGGTTGAACTCAGCCCTGTTAACCAGGTTGAAATCTTTTGCGATTACATGGACGATTTCAACCCCGGGGTTGAAACGCTATACTATACGTTCTCGGCATCGATTCCCGGAAGTAAAAAAGCCTTTATTTTGTTTTCTTGTAATAAATAATCACTACCACGTATGCTCGAATAACTCATGAAATTTCAGCCCTGAGTTGAAACGATTACATGACAAAATTTTCAACCCAGGGCTGAGTTCAACCCCCTGCTAGCTGAAGCAGGGTTGAAATTTCAACCCCGGGTTGAAAATTTTGTCATGTAATCGCGCATTTGATTTTGATAGAGTTTTGTATTACAGACAGGGCTGAATTTTCAACCCGGTAAACAGGGCTGAGTTCAACCCCGGGGTTGAAAATGCTCCATGTAATCGGCCCCTTATTGTTCTAATTTTTTTAGTTTCTTTTGTAAATTTCTACATATTTTTCATGTTTTCATTTTAGTTTGCATGGAAATTGCACGCTTCCTCCATCACCCAAGGAATACAGAATTAAACCTTTTGTAATTTTGATGAACAGTATAATAAACTTTTATACCTTTTCAATTATTAACATAATAAAGGAAATCTGACACCAAGTCCAGTTAATTCGAACCCCCGCTAACTCGAACAATTTTTCGTTCCCCTTGGGAGATCGAGTTAGCGGGGTTCTACTGTACATGATAAGCAACAGTTTGGAAGCCAGCAAAAAGCCTGTGTGCTGTGTATTATTTTTTAATATTAATTTCTTAAAAGTTATTTACTAAAATATTCTCATACAGCAAATCAAATGCCACATTAATATCTACACCAGATATATTAATAACGTGTGGTAACCAATCACATGTGAATATGTTTCCCTTGTTAGAAGCTTTCTCATAAATATGTATGGCATGTTCTGCAATATCATTTAGTGTGTGACTTCTCCAGTATGTACATGAGTCTTTGAATAATTAGTTATGGTGATTTAACATAAGCATTGTATGTATTATGATAACATGTTGACAATGAAGGGGCATATTTTATCACTCAAGGGACGAGTACACAACATGGTGTCAGGTGTGGGATTTTCTGAAAATAGCTTCAAGTGGTTTATGATCAGTTTCCACTTTGATTGTTTGACCATAGATGTACTGATGGAACTTGTTGCAACCATAGACTACAGCAAGCAGTTCCTTTTCAATTTGGGCATATATTTGTCGAGTGCTTGTAAGGGCTCTTGATGCATAGGCGATAGGTTGTTGTTCTTGCATTATCACTGCCCCAAGGCCTTGTGAACTGGCATCGACTGAGAGTGTTACAGGAGAATTGACATCATAGTACCTCAGCACTGGTGTTCAAGAGATTGAAGCTGTCAGAAGCTCTCCTTCTGGGGTTCTTCCCAATGCCACTGCGTCTCAACAAGGCTTTGCAGAAGTGCACTGATTTCTGACAAATTCAGAATGAACTTTGCCAAATATGGACCATGCCCATTCCCCACACCAAAATATCATCTGTGATGCACTCAACTCCATCAAGTCCCTTGAGCATTGTTGTCATAGCTTTCTGAAAAACTTCTGGAGCTGATGAAATACCAAATGGAAGTTTCTTGAACTGGTATCGTCCAAATATAGTGTTGAAGGTACACAATGTGGAACTGCTGTCATCAAGTTCTATTTGCCATAAACCAGAACTGGTATCAAGGATAGAAAATACCCAGGCATTTGGGAGTTGTGATACAATTTCTTCAACAGTTGGCAGTAGATGGTGCTCCCTTCGGATGGCATGATTTAGATCATGTGGATCAATACATATTCTCAACTTGTGTGGCTTTATGACAGTTACCATACTATTAACCCAACCGGTTGGCTCTGACAGCTTTTCAATCACCCCAAGATCTTCCATTCGTTGCAATTCTTACTCTATTCTGAGGCGTAATGCAGCAGGTACTTTTCTTGGTGGGTGAACAACTGACTTGATACAACCAAGCTGACTTGATACATCCAAGACCAGTAAATACGTCTGGATATTAATTAAGAATGTCATCACCATTGTTTCCACAATCAAATTGATTTATGGTCATGATTTGTTCGATTAATCCCAACTCCAAACAGGTTTTACGACCAAGTAGAAATGGAGCCTCTTCATCAGTTATCTGAAATGTGATTTGGTGGATCACATTCTTGTGTTGACATTGGAATCTTGCTTTTCCAATTGGAAAATTACCAATCTAGCATTCGATGCGACAATAAGAGAGTTGTTGTCTTGAGCAATGTTATTTTGGACAATAGTATTGTAAACATCGTGTGACATAACATTGCATTGAGTGCCAGTGTCAAGTGTAACCTTGATTATAATATTTTTGCTCCAGTTGTCATCGCCGCTAGGATTTTTCACAGTTTCTATGAAAAAATCGTCCATGTCATCTACGATTTCATCAACTTGAAATGCTTGTTTATTAATACACTGGTCCTGATTTAGATCGACAGGCTCGAGCAAAGTGGTTTTCCTTTCAACAGTTATGATAAATCTTTCCAAAGGCTGGACATGCCTTTTGTAAACTAGAATGTTCTCCCCCGCAATTTCCACACATCCTTGACACATAGTTTAACCGCTGTTGTCTTGGATTAAACTTTGTATTCGAAAACTTGCTCGGGTAAGGAAATTTAGATCTTTGACTTTGCAGTGTATTAAGCAACTTGTCATTGCCATCGTTAAATTCTTTTAACTGGTTTGAATTTGCTTCACTTGCATGACATATATCGATGGCTTTTACATTCACATTCGCGTTTTCGCTTGCTACGTCCACATTCACGTTTTCGCTTTCGTGCCGGCGTTTTCTTCTCTTTTTTCTCCGTTTCGGTTTCTTCTTCGAATTTTTTTCTTGCTACCGAAATATCTTTACCACGATTTACTTTCACCGGGGTGTTGTATACTTGGGGTATCTGTGTTTCTTCGTTGCCAGATATGAAACCGTCAAGATATGTTGTAAGGGCGGGAAATATTGGTTCGGTTATTTCGGGTTCGGTTTTAGTTGATTTTTCGTCAATGATAATGGTTTCGCTTGACTGTTCAGGGGTTCGCGGCGTCTCGAGTGTGAATGTATTAAACCGACCTTCGACAGTGTTGACATGTTTTTTTAACTTTGCGAGTTTAACGGGTAGTGGAGGGAAGTCTGCGGTTAAAACTTTACTCGGGCTGAATACCGATGTAGGCGACGGTATTGAAATCTGTTGTGGTGATGTTTGATATTGGTAGGGATTTATTTGTTGTGGAGGAGTTTGAGATTGTGGCGTCGTTGTATTTACTTGCTGCGGCGGAGTTTGATATTGGGGTGTTGTGTTTACTTGCTGCGGCGAAGTTTGATTTGTCGTTTTGATTTTACCTTTTAGTTGCCATTTGATGAAATTTAACTCGTAAATGTTATTTGGATATTCTGCGGCGTATGCTGTGAAACTCCAGTAGTCGGCAAGTAGCGGTGTTAGATTCGTGTCCTCGGTAATGGTTATTCCTGACAGTTCGAGAAATTTGTAGAAATTCGCATCCATTTTTTTTAGCAGATGTAGGATTTATACTGTTTCGTGTACGAGTAGTTGTAGTGAAATGTGTTAAAATTATATTCGCAAGGTTTCAAGTGTAAACGACGTGTCTAAATATGGTCAGGGTGTTTTTAACCTTGTGACCATATTTGGTTGGTAGAATTTGCCAGAACTAGAATATGTTGATATGTGTTTATGTGTTTATTAGCACCTAGCAACACGTAAATGGTGAAAGAAAGGGCTATGACTATATATGGTTGTGTGGATATACGGTGTTTATACGGTGTTTATTTTAGCGTGTAGCAACGGATAATGAGTAAAAAATTTATTTTAGTTATATATGGTATACCCATATATGTACATGTTAGTTAATAGCTGGTATGTGGTATGATGAGGGTTCTTATAAGAGCGATTTTAAATGGTTTACACTATATATTTGATAGTGAAATGAGTTTTGGGTGTAAGCTTTTACTATCATTGGTGTTATTATCGTTTTTAACGTATTTATTTTTAATTTATTACTCGGATATATCTATAAAAGATATAGAAGCGGTATTGATTGAGACATATAGCTGTACAGATGAATATGTCGAGGTATGATCACTTTTGCAAAACGTTATTTCACCAATTGAAAAATTGGAATAAACCAGAGAGTATTGTTATTTATCATAGAGGTTATGTTTTTCGTCATGTCAATGCGTATGTTAGTCCGGCTATCGATCGTAGACATTGTTATATGAGAATTGTATTACAGAATCAGCGTTGTCTTCTAAGAGAGTCTGCGATGGAATTAAAATATAATTGTCAAGAAAGAAATGGGTGTTATGATATACAGTTTTGTTTTCCGGGTTATTATGGTAGTTTATGTGGTGTTTTTCATGAAGAATGTTATAGCGCTGTACGACAATTTTATAAGGATGCTAGCAAGTGTAGTTTGGAAAAAATTTGCATAAATATTTTCCGACGTTGCGCCGGTACGATGGTTAGCGAAACTTTAATAAAACAACAAGTGGAATATTATAAATGTGATAGTACTCTTATGGAATTGGATCATAGGGGTAAAGCTGCGCCACAAAAATAAATTTTTTTTTTCTTATGTTGTAGTTCTGATGAAAAAAAAGATATTTTTGTTCAGCTACCCTGCGATACAGTTCTTGATGATGAACCGCTGAGAGTATTACAGATTATAGCTAGCGATTACAAGTTTTTCGAATTTTATTTACGTGTGGGTCGAGAGCAACAGGTGCAGTTAGCTGGCGGTCGTTTATGGCCGACTGTAATTACAGACGGTGTTCTGAAAACAATACCCAGTTTTTATATTTACCTTATAGCTGTCACTAAATGTGATAATGGTGATCGATATATAACTATTGGAATTGTACACTGGTTGTTTGGGATTTATGCCGAATTGGTGATTGATTACCACATCTATCCTGAATTGTTCAGACCTCAACCCGAGTGGAAAGTTACACCGATCTATTTGCCATCTGTGACGTTTGACAGTCTTGATTTTGATATTGATTATACTGATCAACAGCAGTTAACAGTTCGCGAAGCGAAAGATTTTGTCGCCGGTGTGGTAGATACATTGATTACATTTTTAAATGAAAATTATGAGAGAGATTTTGAGACTGTGGTCGCCGAGTTTGAAAAGGAGCATGGGATGGCTGTATCAAAACGTTTGATACAGATTATGATATATCATCAAAAATTGGTTCACCGCGTACAGGATTGGATAATAAAGAGTTGCGGTTGTACACGAAACGACCAAGTCTGTCATTGTGGATTGTATACCAAACGCGATATAGTTAAATGTAGAAAGTTGTACTTTCAAGACGCGGGACTATTGGTTAGTGATGCGGTGTATTTTACCACCCCGAGATAAATATGGTTGGATATTATACCATTATTTGGAAACATGTAACTTTAATAAATACGGTGAAATGCGAGAAATATCGTTATTTGCCTATGATCAACTATATTCAAATGTTATGTATTGGGCATATATAACAGAAATTCATAAATCCCATCATGGTTACATGTATCGAATGACATTTCGAACATTAAACGGTTTTGCACATATTCATATGTTGTTTGATTTAAAATATCTTCCGACTATAAATAGTGGCGGACATGTTATGTATGAGACGATGGGTGTTCAAAGTTTTGGCATTCAACAATGTGTAGAATTGGTGATTGTTAACAATTTTTTAAATACTACTTATGAGAGGATTTTAAAAAACATTATGAAATATATTAGAGAACATATTACGTTTTCATTGACTGTAGATTATGACGAATATATTCATAAAATACGTACGGATATAGCTAGGATATATAAGACTGTAGTGTCTTCGGATTTTATACGCGGAATTCACGATAAAGTAAAGGATATGTTAACGAATATGTATTGGTTAGACAGTCGGGCGTGTTTGTGTAATACTATAAATAATTGTTGTATATGTAAAAAGACAAATTTGCATTTTGTAAGCTTATACTGTCAACATATAATGTTAGATTTTTAATAAAGAAAAATATAAAAAAACCGTGTGTATCTGAAAGGTGTGTGTTAGTTGTCTATTCATATTATGAGGGTATGGAGGGGTTATTTCAAAGAAAGCATAATCAATTGTCGTATGAAGAAGCAGTTATGGTTGAAAAAAACAAAAAAGAAATAGCGTCTCGTATTACACACGTGATCGATTGTGAAGCATATACAAGTAAGAAAAAAACATTTCTTCGCGAAATATCTGTCTATCGGGTAAAGACCGGCAAGTGTTCATCGTTTCAAGTGTTTATGCCGTTTGTACCGTTTAATGAACGTAACTATACAATTGACTATCAAATAAAGAAAATTCACGGCTTACCGATTGTACGCAAACGTTTAACTGATGATTTTTATACATTGAAAGAATCAACAGCATTTTTAACAGATGAATTTATGTGTAATGCGGATTTAGTGGCTTATAAAGGTGGCGATATTGAACGTATTTTGTTAAATAATATGGGTGTTCGCTGTATTAATCTTGAAATATTGACATGTCCGAAATATATAGATCTGTTGACCATATTTGGTCAATCGCAAGAATGTTGCCCTTATCACCTGGGTAACCATTATCATTGTTCAAAACACGAGGTAAAAATGTTCGCAAATTTTGTGTATTCGCTATTGTAACGATGTCGACACTAGAAGCATTATCGTATGTTTTAATGAAACAACCCTATAATCCGATTTTATGGAATTTGTATTCGACTTGTAAATATTTACGATTTTATAAACCACCACTCGACGTTGCAGACAGAAAAATAAACGATTATGTAAAAGTTAAAAAGTTTTGGATGAAAGGGGGTTTTGATACTATACGTGATTTCATCGCTGTAGATGATCAAACGGGTGAGGATGAAATGGTGAAAAGCGACAACCCTAACACACCAGATTTGACGTGGCCCAAGCATCCGCGTATGGCCGTCATCGGTATCGATAGAGAAGGTATTGACGGTAAAGAATTGTATAGTATACCCGTGGAATGGATTCCACGAGTGGCGGTTCGTGACGACGGTCTGTTCGTATTAAAATCGTTCGAGTTTTGTTGTCGTGAAATTTTGGTACGTTCAAAGACACAACTGGTACGTTGTCAGTCTTTAACAGTATCGGACAAATACTATGTAGACAAACATTATTTTCATGTTGGTTCCGGCGACTGTGATGAAGATAATTCTGAGATTGAAGTGTTTGCCGCTACACACTTGTATGTGGGATTAAAGAGTATTATGCACTATTTTAACACTGGGCTGTATGTGAATATGGGGGAAATGCTGATGGCACTTGATTGTAATGAAGAAAATTTGAAATTTTATCATAAAGAAGTACGTTATGAAGAATCATCAATAACTGTAATATATACTCCTGTAGAAAAGAAGGGTACGTGTATTCGTAAATATCTTGCACATATAGTAGTATGTAAAAATTGTATTAGATATCTTCAAGATTTTTTAACCCTATTAGATCAGAGTGTGGAAAATCATCCATTTTCCTCATATGACGAGTTGGATTGTGATGGGTATAACCATCTTGGATTACCCGTCCTACGATACGTATTAGATGCCGATTTTGATAGTTTAGCAGCGAAAGCGTATTATGGTGTTATAGATGGACACCTAGACACACCTTGTATGTATGTGGATGCTTTTATGCAAACGTATGCTATAAAACATGTTTGATTTTAAACAAATATTTTATCAGTTGCTACAATTAAAAAGTTTGTATGTATTAAAATATGAGGGTGTAATAATAGGGTATGCCCTTATAAGGTCATCATATAATTTGCTTCGATTTGTACAATTCTTTAATGTGTGTCATTTAAAAGAGCGTGATTGTGCGGATTTTATTCACTGTTTAAAATTTTCGATAATAACCATACACCAAAACGAAGATATTGTTTTGGCCATTGTTACATAATGGCATCGTCAACTAAAACACATTATTTTGAAACGTCTGCTAATGAAATTAGAGTCGATGAATTTTTGAAAAAAATGTTAGAAAATGGAGAGTTGACCTATTATCGTTACATCGGCATACCCAATAGCTTGTGGTATGGTGAAAGACAGGAATATGGTATAAGAAAGACTACGGTGACATGGAGTTTGAAACTGTGTGGGGTTGTACAATTTAAGGAACGGGTCAGCCCTAGAACGGTACGTCAGATGTTCGTCAGCGAACGTATTTATTTGTCAGCATTGCTTACCGTGAGAAGACCCATTGTATTAATATTGATGCGGTTGTGGGTGCTTTGCGGATGTTACGGTCTACATTACGGTGAAACAAAATGGTCTAATACACCAATCGGTTTTGGTGGACGAAAAACGGAAAATGAGGTACATTATATGAAACCTTACATTAAAGCATTAATACATTATAGAGAGTGTGATAGAGATGATTTTTGTTACAATAATTTAAATGGTGCAAGACAAATATGTAAATATAAACTTATGTTAGAAAAGAAACTGCGAAAAACGAGTATGCCCATATAGGGGCGTTGACATTATATATATCTATGGTGTAGTTTTATTTTTTAGTTGTGATGATGTTGTCCATACAACAACATCTATTATGGCGTAGTGTAAAATTTAAAAATAAATGATTTTTTAACACCTATCAATCAATCAATCAATTAATTATGAATATTTGCAGTTTGCATTTATTCACGTATAAACGTGCAAAGTTTAAAAAAAAACCACAATGGTGGTTATGTGCGTTTTTAATAAATTATAAATAGGTGGGTGTGATGGGATCAATGTTTAGTAGTGGTAAGCGATTGGGTAAAAAAGCAAGTCGCGAACGAGGTTGAAGACTAAAGAGAACCCGAGAAAAACTACTTCTCTTGTAGAGCACGTCGTATAACGCATCGGTGGAATAAAAAAAACACGTCGTTATATGCATCGGTGATAATACAAGACAAGATAAAATAAGACAAATAAAAGGTATGTAAATTTTTTATTGATGATATTGATAGACTACAGGCATATGATTAACAGGTTTTCGCCGTACACGACCTCCTTCTTGCTTTCTGATCGATCTTTTTTTTTGCATTATAATTTTCGCGTTTGCACGTCTTGTTCTTGTTTTTAATCGTTTTGCTCTTTTTGCCTGTCTTGCCGCATATCTTTTCCCATTTACTACAGCGTCTGTAACGGCGCGTTGTAATAGATCGCCAGGGTTGGGCATATTCGGCAATCCTGCACCGCTTTGATTGTTTCTGCGAATGCGTTGTGGTTTGCCCGCATAGGGGTTAATACCGCGATTTATTCTTCGATCCCAAAGAACGCCAGGTGTTTGAGACATTGTTATCTGTAGCGGGTTTTAAGAAATATGAAATGTTTTTTAATAGTTACAAATGTTTTTATAACCAATAGTCTTTACCGTAGTTAACAAAAATTTCTGAATGTGGTGGGATGCTTTGTGAGGATTTTAAGTGAAACATTTGATTTCCACGCATGCTACTATTATAACGAAATTTGGAATTTCTAGCATCGTTTGCAAATCTACCCGCAGCATCAGTTGTATGATTTGCATCAACGCATAACCCTTTGCGATTACATATGGTATATTTCGCCGTGCTATTCCCATATTTTTTATCAATTTATTCACGAGTACGACGACGCCCTGTGTATTTTGAAATTACACGTCCAGACGGTATGGTTTTTTTCCAGCTAAATAACCCTTTTCCAGCATTTGAAATTTGGGAGGGTTTAATTCGTAGATTATCTTGTTTTGCTAAATGTATCCAACATTTAGGTGTATGTGCTGTTCGTTTACGACATCGTTTTTGTAATAATGTGTCGCTAATACATTGTTTTGATTTTCGAATACTTTGTTGATATTGTTTTTTTCTTAAATTGGTTACAAAACGACCACTCATTTTTTTCTGTTTTTTTATTCTGCATATACAAGAGTTACACCGATATAGTCGCTGGCGTAATGTCGTTCGATATATTTTATTATATTTTCAATTTTAGTCACCACATCCGGAGGTACTTCTGATTCAAATTGGAACAGCGACAATCTGTGACGTAACGTGTCTGGATCCACCTTATATATAAGATCTTGATCTTTGGCAAAAGATGCAAACGCTTCTTTAAATATGGTGGGTGCAAAAATAATAGATTTATCATTGTCGGTTACCTCATACCCTATTTTATATCGATCGTAATCACCCTTGTGCGCCTCATTTAGCACATGTACCGAGATATGTATTTCAAATTCAGCGCTCATTCTTGATTTGAATGTTGCTTGTTCAACACGTGTGATTGAAATGGGGCAAAAGTGTTTTAAAGGGGGTGAAGATACACCCTGGGTGACATTTAATTGTAATATGGTGCAAATTCGTGAAAGTACTAATATCGCGATGGATTTTACAGATGGTGGGGAAGATGACGACAACGATATAAAAGTTAGTAATTGTTGCTGTATTCAATGGCGTCAAAGGGTGGTGAAAAAAGACAGAGAGATGAAGGAGAAGGGGAATGCATCAAATAAAAGACAAAAAGGGGTCGACGGAGAGGCCGTAAAAAGGAGAACCGTTGCATTGGTGAGGAAATTATTTAATGAAAAAGATAGAGAAAAACGGGAACAAAATATTGAGGCAATTGCACAAATGGTTGTCGCTAGAAATGATAAACAATCACAAATAAATAGATTAGCTGAAATGGTTAAGAAAACAAAAACTTTATATAAAGAAAAACGTAGTTACAATATAGAGGATCGCGACCTTATAGAGTTAGCAGCACTTGTACAATCACACCAAAATGTTAGCGTTCCAAAAAAAGCTTTTTCGGTGCGTCAAATATGCACTCATCAACGTTCGGTTATACCGAATATATATTTGATGTAAATGTAGGTAGCAATCATATGGGGAGTTTACCAGATTTTTGGTGAATTTACGACGTGTGTTTGATTATTTAATAAATACTATGTTGTATTATGCTCAGACGAATACGGATAAGGCTAGATTTTTTATCTCGAATGCCCCACGTACCCCTTTTTCTACAAGCGTATTAACCGTAACGGATTTTACAACCGATATGTTTTTTAATATTTTCGAGAAACACATGCAAAGTAATGCAGAAGAGATTATAAATAATGGCTGGAATACAACCATCAGTTTGTACATTTTTCCAAATAATTATGTTTCGCGTAATAAAACGTCACGGGTAAAAAAGAAAACAAAACAAAATAAATTATATAAATATTTTGGTAAAAACACCACAGAGTCCGGTAGCGGTAAAAAAAATAACCCGGCGTTAAAACATGGTCGCGAAGTGCGTCACGGTGTTTTTCAAATCGGTGTTTCAAATGTTAAAAATTGTTGTTTGGGTCTAGCGCTTCTAGTGGGTAAATCTTATCTGCACAACGATTCTGACGCATACAAACTGAAACGCAACAGTAACATACCCCTAAGTAGTATATATACAGACGACGCTATTACAAATGTGTATACGGTCAGCCAATTACCCGTGGGGTCACCCGTACGTATTGATCAATTATCCGACGTGTATGAGAAATATTTGAAATCCGACGGGATAGATTTGGTTGTTTTTTCTAAACAACAAGCCGACAGTATTGTATACGATTCTCGATTAGGTCCAGATCAATGTCTACACCGTGTTACAAACGATGTTATTTTTTTATGGTTAAATGATGGCCATTATGATTTAGTGACTTCGCCTTACACACTTGCACGCTTAAATTTGGGAACGTTTTGTTTTTCCTGCATGCGCTATTTGCGTCGACATGAACGAAAAAATACACACGTGTGTATCTTAAGTATGACCTGTCATCGTTGCTATAGTAACACACGCAGGTGCGAACCCGTATCCGGTTTTGTACAACAGTGTACGGAATGCGATGTTATTTTTTACAATCCAGATTGTTTTACCAAACATTTAACACAAAGAGTGTTTAAAACATATGTAAACGGTTCGTTAACAACTGAAACGACATGTCAACGTTTTTTTTTCTGTGTCGTGTGTTATAAAACGGTATTGCGTAAAGCAATTACAACCGGCAAAAAGTATACAAAGCATAAATGTGACGAGATGTTTTGCATACACTGTAATAAAATGAAAAAGAAAGATCATCACTGCTATATTAAACCGGTTAAGGAGCATAAAAATGAATCACGACCCACTTTGTATTTCTACGATTTTGAAACGCGCGTAGATGAAGGTGATATCTATATGATACCTTTTTATTGCGTCGTACAAAAAGTATGTGATGTTTGTGACGAAAAACCGTTTGTGAAAAATTATGAACATTTTCTACCGCATCCTAGTGAGTCGTTTACCGATATTTCAATTGAACCGGTACCCTGCTGCAGTTATAGACAATATGTTTTTGAAAAAAACAATGATGATATTGTGGCGGATCTGATCGACTTCATGATGGCACAACCGAAGAATAGTGTGTGGGTGGCGCATAACGGCGGACGATTTGATAGTATTTTTTTAATGCGTGAATTGTTAGTCCATCGTAAACTCGTACCCACCGTGGTAATGAACGGTAGTAAGGTTATGTCCTTAGAATTGCAAGAACGTAATTTGAAAGTAATTGACAGCTACCTATTTCTTTCAATGAGATTGGCAAAATTTCCCGAGGCTTTAGGGCTTGAAAACGTAACGAAAGGGTATCACCCCTATTTGTTTACAGATTTGAATTATGTTGGCGACATGGTCGGATTAGAATATTTTGAACTACCCACAGAGGGTAGCGAGGAGCGGGAAGCTTTTGATAAGTGGTATAGACAACAACAAAGCAAACCGTACGTGTTTCGTGAGGCTATCTATTATTATTGCCGTATGGATGTGGATATTTTAAGACAGGGTTGTATCATATTCTCCAGACTTATCTATCGAATTACGGGTGTATTACCCTTTTATGACCGCACATGTAATACTGTGGCGGGTTTAGCTTTAAAAATATATCGCAAAAATTTTTTAAAAGAAGAACAAATTGGACAGGTTCCCGCATGTGGTTACAGCGGTGTAAATATTAACCAAAGCGCAATTGCTTTATGTTGGCTAAAAGATATTGAAACTATGTTAGATGAAAACGATCTAAGATTGTGTAGTAAGCTTAGTGTCGGTGGTGAGCGTCGTATAATGAATCATTATGTTGACGGGTATTGTGAAGAGACCAAAACAATTTATCAGTTTCACGGTTGTTTTTATCACGGTTGCGAACGTTGTTATGATGGCGAATGTTACAACAGTGTTTTATGTACAAAATTTTACACACTTTTGGGTAGTACGCAACGTTTATCGCGAATGTTTCGACAAGCGGGATATATCGTTGTTGAGAAATGGGAATGTGATTACCGTAACGATGTTGACATGACCCCCTATCGTTTAAAGCAATTACGTCTAACAACGTTTTTTGAATTCATACATTTGGAACCGCGTGATGCGTTGTTTGGTGGTCGTACATCTCCCGCCACATTATATTATGATATGAAGCATACTGGTTTACCAGCCATGTATTTCGATGTATGCTCTCTTTATCCGTATGTGCAGAAAAAATTTCAATATCCAACACAACATCCGGTCATTCTTAAAGGTCGTGCATGTCAAAATATCGACATAGACCAAGTGTTTGGTTTAATTAAGTGTAAAATTTTACCACCCACACACTTACTGTTTCCTGTGTTACTGTTTCGTTCGGCGAAATTAACATTTCCCTTGTGCCGCACATGCGTACAACGTCAACAAAGTGAGACATGTCAGCACGATGATGAGCAACGTGCATTATACGGTACATGGACTAGTGTGGAAATCCAAAAAGCTGTACAATTAGATTATCGCATTTTAATTGTTTATGAAATTTATCATTATCAAAAACGCGAAAAAATATTCGATCAATATGTAAATACGTTTATAAAGCTTAAACAAGAAAGTAGCGGGGTGCCAAAAAAATGTCTAGACCAAAACGGTTCGGTGGTGAAAGAAAAATTACAAAAATATATTGACGATTATATGAAACATGAGGGCGTTGTTTTGGACGCAAGTAAAATGTCGTACAATGTGGGTCAGAGAACGGTAATGAAAGCTTTATTGAATTCTTTGTGGGGTAAATTGGCCCAAAACGAAGATGTTACGGTCGTGTCGTTCTTAGAAGACATGGACGCTTTGTTAGAATTAGTAAATGATCGTACGGTAGAAGTAACCTCTTTAGATTTCATAAGCGACAATATTGCGCGAACGACACATCGGAAAACGACAAGCCTAACACCGTTACGCAATCGTAATGTGATTATTGCGTCATTTGTCACAGCGTATGCACGTTTAGAATTACTAGAGTATTTACTTAAATTAGGCGAAAATGTTTTGTACTATGATACAGATTCGGTGATTTTTATAGAGGATCGTGCAAACGGTAAATTTCTTGAAACCGGTGAATATTTGGGTCAAATGACCGACCAATTAATTGAAAAAAAAAACCAGCGCAAAATGGATTCAGCAATTTTGTTCGGCCGGACCAAAATCCTATTCCTATCGCACGAATACCTATACACGTTACAATGACGACGGCAGCGAAAGCAAACAACAAGATGAGGTTGTGCATGTTAAAGGCTTTGCGTTAAAAGGACCTGTCAAAAAATTATTAACATTCGACAGTATTCGGGAGTGTGTAGAAGATCCCACCAAAGAAATTGAAATTACTTATCGGGAATTTATGCGTGAAAATACGCAGAGTATTTCGGTACAACAAAATACAAAAACATTTAAATTTACCTTCGATAAGCGGGTTGTGCATGAAAATTTTACAACGACACCTTTTGGTTATCGGTAATGATTTTTTTATACTTTTTTAGAAAAACAAAACAAATCAACATTGTATGCACAATGTAACAATACCCCTTCAACATCCCTTCGTGATGACAATATGCGGGCCCACACAATCGGGTAAAACACATCTAATGGTTGACATAATAAAAAACATTGACGAACTGATTGTACCAACACCAGACAAACTACTTTACTTATACACTGCTGAACAACCAATATATGGGGAAATTACGGATTATGTGGCTGCGAAACATGAAACATCTGCACTTAAACGATGTGAGTTCTACGACTGTGCACGATTGGGTATACCCACGATAGAGGATATAAGACCGTTGTTGGGTGAACGTACCCTACTTGTTCTCGATGACCTAATGATCTTAGCAATGTCAACTAAGGAGGGTACTGAAAATTTGAACAATTTAGCGACACGTGATAGCCATCATTTAAATCTCTCTATATTTTTTGTGTGTCAAACTTTAAATTATGGTAATGGAAAATTACGAAGTATGCGTGTGAATAGCATGTATCATCTTCTTTTTAATAATTACACCGATACTCGAGATATCGAATTGATAGCGCGAAATAAGGGCATCCGTCTACAGACAATACGCAAAATATTGGCGGATGTGGGTAAAAAACAATACGGTTATGTGTTGTTTGACGGATGTCCTCACGCGCCCGCCAATGCACGTGTTCGAACGGGTATATTGCCCAATGAATGTACAATAATTTACAATACAGAAAAACAATTTGTATAAATTTATTAATAAAAGTTACATGTATTGTTGAAATGCTTCTAAATATGTTTTACAAATTTGACCCTTCCCCTTATTACATTTACCCTTATATATATTAATCATGTTGGGATATTCGGCATATACTAACTGTTTTAATTTAGTTTCATTTTCTAAAAGTTCAGCTTGTTTAACAGAAAATTTGTCGATAATATCCTCGTTTTTATAGAAACTATGTAAAAATAATAAACACCATGCACCACAGGTCTTGCTAATATACGATTGACGTTGTAATTGCATATATACAGAAAAGTTACAATGTAAACTACGGAAATAATCAAGCCAGTATTTACGGCCAAAAAAACGCGGAGTCTTGCCAAAACTATCAAAAAATATGATATCTTGACGGTCTTTTACAACACACACCCAATGCGTGCCGGGTTTATCGTCCTCGTCGGTATTCCACACCCAACATCGATTTTTGATATTTTTTGGATATATATTTGCAGGGTAACATCCCAAATAATATGTATTGATAACGGTATTTTCACGAGCCAATTTATCAATGTCGTCTGTGTTTAGAAATTTACTTATAAAACAGATTAACGACGTCATCTAATCTGAAAGATATCCCCGTTTTCTTCTTGTTTTAGCAGAACCCGTTGTTTTGGGAGTAGGAATGAATGTGGTTGGTGGTTTGCTAGGCTGTTTGCTTTGATTCAACATTTGTTTGTACTGTTCTTTAATTGCTCTATTTCGAATATATGAAATGGGCATATTTGTTCTTTTTAATAATATCAACACCCTACGACGGTTATTGTCGTTTAAATTTGGTTGGGTTTGCGTGTAGTTTCGCGTTAAATCTTCCATCATATCTTGATAGGATATATTCAAATCATTGTCACCATATTTAATACCTTGCGGTACCGGTTTTACATTGTGTTTTCGTAAATGTTCCTCTATTTTTGCTGCCGAAGCAGCAACTGTGCCGGGTTTATGACCCGCACCCGACGCACCGGCAGTCACCGGGGCGGGGTTATTTGCCACGGCCACATCCTCATCATCATCTACAACTTGATCAACACCAACCGATTTTCGATAACTATCCGTTTTTCTTAGAAAATTAATGATGTCGTTGCCCGCCGTGGAAGAATTATTTTTAACAGATTTTTTAGCTTCCTGACGACTTTCAATAAGCCCCGCCTCTTCGCTGCTTCGTTTTGCGTTGTTCAATACCTCGTCTCTGGCGTTATTTTTAGTAAGCATGTCCATCAAACTGTTAAATTTATTCGCATCGATCAACGCTAACCGTTTGACTTCTTCGCCACCTCCAGTTGTCTGACAGCTTTCCGAATATAACCATGAATGCGCATATCTTCTACAAGTGTAAATTTTATATCTTTCTTTGGACAATCTTTACTGGTAATATGTTCTAAAACACCACGGTCACCATGATCTATTTTAATACCAAGTTTGTCGCGGACAATTAAACCACACACGTGTAACAGATGTTGCGTGATAGTTGGAGAAATTTGTTGGCTTCTTTGATCAAAATCTAATTTCATAAAATTAGAAACACACGGTATGAGACGATTTTCTTTCTTCTTCTTTTCAGCTTGTTCTTGTAATTGTAGGAGATGTTTCAAAAAACCTTGTATTACTTGCTCATCTAACCCCGCTTCTTCCGATTCACAGTTTTCAAAATTGTTGTCAATATGAAAATCTGAAATATTTTCATCTTCACAGGGTTGAATATCCATGCTTCCTTCATCTATTTGTACAGTGTTATTTACATCGTCGGTGTGATCGGTATTTTCAACATTTTCAACATCATCATCATCACCATCATCATCATCTGTGTCCAAATAACCCGTTAGGTTTACGTTTGATATATCTTCGTTAAAATCGGTATTTTCAGCCATATTTTGAAATTACACTATGTATATGAACAGTTTGAATATTTACCCCTTTATCACTGATAACTACAGTGTGCGGTGGTCGCGGTCGACATACAAAAGATTCGCGTTTTTTAGGGGGCCCGAGTTTTAAACCGGTGTTGGTCACGTGCCGTGGCATATTGTAAATGGGGAAAAGTGTGTGTCTACACATTTATTTATTTATTTTTTTTACCAAACCATGTCTTTGCCCAGTATACTCCACCTTTTTGATTTTTTCGTCTTGATTTTTTTGGTTTTTTTCTTCTGGGTTTTTTTTTACATACAAAAAATGTCGCTATTGTCTTTGCCATGCTTAATTAACAATACACACGTTTATTGTTTACATTCAATTTTGTAGATCAAAATGTCTCAGGAAACAAATTCCATCCACCCTTTTGATTTCTCGATCTTACACTTTTTGGCACGAAAGCTTTTCGAAAATAATGTAAGTTACCTCGACCGCCTTTTTGTTTTGCAATTTTAAAATTTCCACCTTTTTGCTTTTTTTTACGCACACAACAACGTCGCTTCTTCATACTTGAAACAGACTGGTTCAAAAATTCACTTTAATAACAATTTATACTTCATATTTTAAACGTGCTTGTGTCCCAAAACCAACGCTCATCTGATTTCTAAATTCCCCGATACAAATTAGCTTTTGTGCGGCGATTGTGTGGTTGGCAAAATCAATTTTTATACTCAAATTTCCACTTGTTGAATTGGGTAAAACTTGTGAGAAACCATCACGATTCGGTGATAAATCTGTAACGATCATACCGTAATCGGATACATATTCAGGATATGTACACGGCATCTCGCTATGGCGACGATCCAATGATTGACGTAAATTAATGTAGGCCTCTGATGCATTTGTAATTACAGGGGGTACTTCGGCTTCATTGATGCTAACAGCAAAACGTGTGATATCGGGAAAAGCTACATGATAAGGTGACAATATATACGATCCGTTGTAACGGGCTTGTGATACAATTTTTGTTATAAGACGTGTAGGTCGTGCACCATTGAAAATATCTTTATGTTGAATATGTCGACTATTTTGGGGTACGGGTATTGCAACATACCGATGTGTGATTTTATAATACCGACATTCTTCACCTTTTTGAATCATCAAATCATTAATTGCTGCCGATAATTGCGCATTGGGTTTTAAAATTGGCATGGTTAATTTTAAATCACCCATTCTTAAATCTAGCAAAGCACATTCGGCAGCCGTACCATAGATGACTTTTGTTTTCTCCAATCTTGTTAAAACCACTTTGATATCAAATGATGTGGGTACATACCGTTTAACACGACCCAACAAATCCAATTTATCAATACATTGATGAACTACGTCTTGATTTACTGCAAGATATCGTTTCCGGGCACCAATATTTGTATTACCTGTAGCATTCGTATTATGATGTAAATTTGTGATCGTATCCATATGACCCGGTGTGTCGCGGATCATTAAATTAATCGCCGCATCATCCTTGTATTCCGAAGGAACGGTTGTTAGAAAATCATGAGTAAACTCAAGTTCATTTTCCTTACTGGATTGGGGGGTAATTAATTGATTATTTAAATACACAGCTTTGGTTTTCCACCCGTAACGTAACGGCGCCATGTTAACACATGCATTTATAGTGGCAGCGGTTGCGTTATCCGTAGTCGTTGTAACAATCCGTAATTTTGCCGATAATTTAGCATCCACCATATCTATTACACCATAATCTTGCCGATTATGCATAAATGTATAGATTTCAGCAGTTTGGGTAGTAGGGTTGGGTAGTAATTCGAGAGTATGTGTTTCCGCAAATGTATCATTATGGGGAAATGTATCAAATAATGTCATGGGTCCCACAAAACCACTATCATGTTCTTCAATAGGTTCGGCCTCCTCTTGTCTTTTACGTTTCATCTTGACAATGTTCAATGAACTAATGAAACTATTTTAAAAAAACAGTTCCTTTTTAAAAAAATACACACACACACATTGATTTTTTTGGTTTTTATAATTTTTTAATAAAAGCAAAAATAATATTTTATATACATATTAATAATAATCATCATCATAGTATCTTTGTGGTCGTCTACGACGACGTCGGGGTGCGAGTCCTTGCATCCATGAGGGTGGTGGTCTATTACCCCCTTGATTTACACTTTGTACGGGTTTTTGTGCAGATTTTTTACCAAAAATACTACCTACAACACTTGAACCGGTATTTAATAACATCGGTAATGCCATCCCCAACGCTATTCCCGCAGCTGGACCAAAACCACCTATTTGTTTTTTTACTTTTCTCGATTTCTTCCGTTTATTCGCTATTCTTCGTTTACTACCCATAGATTAATTTTAAAATTTCCGGAGCTACTGTTGCGGATGCAGCACCGGTTTGCAATTTTTGCTGTTTAGCAGCTCTCGGTTGTATTTTACCAACCCTTTGTATTTTAGGATTTGGGGCGTAACCAGGATTTAACTGGGGTGGTGGGCAAATTTTACCGGCAGCACGTTCTTCAACGGTTGATGCTTTACCCGGTAACACATACAAACGTGTCCCTTTATAACATGTACCACCGCCTTTTAACAGCTTTACGTAGTCTGCTTGTTGCATTGTGAATGATTATTTGATTATATTTCATCGTATATATTCAAAACAATGGATAATTTTGACCGGTTTAGTACATCTGCAGCCAATGCAAAACTATCCATTTCATACCCCGGTGTTGGTTCAAAAATAAATTTCACATTCTCGTCTAAATCAGCAACATTTCGTACGGTCAATAAACAATTTGGAAGCGGTGCTTTAACCGTTGAATTTGATACAGGTATTATTATACGGTTATTAGACACTTGTTCAAATCGTTCAAATAATAAATATCGTTTTAGGGTATAATAATGTCGAACTGTCTTTCCACGAAACGTACCGTAATCTTTACCATTGTAAAAATAACCACCACCTGTGGCGGGAATTTCACGACCAGTTAGTTTGTTAGTAACATCCCATTTTCGTGCTACCGATAATTTATAACCCCCCAATAGACCCGTAACATGTGCCATAGTGTAATACATTAATTTATGTGACAATTGTGCTTTAACTTCCGAGCTGTATTCATATTTTACGGGTACAAGTTCTTTAGGACGATCGGCTTTTACTTCTAAATCGATTTTTAACATTTTTTTCTTATTCCACAACACACTCGATATTCACAGTCCCGCTGCTAAACGGTATTAGCGTATGCGTTGTATCGTAGATTGTAACTTTAAATTGATCAATTTTACTTTTGATTAATCTACGGCGTGTACTCGGCGGTGTATATGTACACAATGCACCACTACCCCGATCGCTACCGTTTAAGGGTGTAATAGCCAACAAGGGTGCATATGTATCGCCAACAACAGACATTTCCAATTGTTCACAATATACAAACATTTTATCAATACCGTTGGAAATATCAGGAAGGGCTTTACCCATGAATGAACAAGCAAATTTATTATCCCCACTTGCATTTGCTTTATTCATAAAAGGGTACCATAATAAGGGTACCACGCTATTCATACGGGTTGGAAAAAAAACCGATCCTTTTTCCCATTCCGCTTTTGTTTCGACAACATCCGGATGAACCCTTATTTCTCGCAAACCTAGAATATATTCCAAAGATTCGGTAAAGACCATTTCAAATTCGTCACCCTCTGCAGTATTTTGGGAAAAAACTTCGAATATTTGATGGGGTGGTTTTGTTGAAATTCTTTTTACAGTTACGTCAGAATGCCAATATTCACGTTCGATATTGTACGTTACACCAACGCGGGCATTATTTAAAATTGTAAAATTCGTATAGGAACCCGGGGGTAAATACATCATGTCGGTCTTAAAATTAATCTCGATACCCGAATCAGACGTCGTGGGAAAACGCATAAAAAGTTGTACACCACATTGCTCATTTTGAACATTTTCAATCGTTAAGGGATACGAGAAATTTAAAACTCTCGTTTATATTTTGTAAATTTTCTACTGTGTAACTTATACGCTTCTTTTTGTTTATTATTTAATCTCTCGTGTTTTAACAAACGCGATGTTTTTTTAATCAGTTCGACATCTTTTTTTGCTGACCTCTTTCCCATATTTGTTTACTAAATAAAAAAAATTAATAAAACAAATGTTTGTCAATCATTTCACAATACATAGCGTCTATGGTCGTTACATTGTCATCTTTTTTGATCATGGCGAGATAGTCATACACATATTCTTCATTCATTTCATGTGTATATAGTAATACAGCTTCTTTGCAAGATTTAATTTTTTCACGATGCATCACGGCTATAATAAGCGATACGACTTTACGATACTAAAAGGGAAATTAATGAAAAATTTGTGTAAAACTATCCATAGACATATCGCTCGTTTCACGCAATACATTTAAACGGTCGACAGTGTCTAATACATTCTGTTTTAAATCATTATCTAATAGTACATTGAATTCACCTTTGACATTGTAAAATTCTAATGCTTTTTCATACGTAATATTTTCCTTTAACATTGTCATTAAGACCCCTTTAACAACACCGCTTACACGAGTTTGAAAATTGTGTGAACTACCGTATCGTTTTATATCCTCATACCAATTATTTAATTTTATTACCTCCTCATCGGTGGGTTCTATAGTACGTCTCTTTTTCACCGGTTGTTTAGCAAGACCCGTTTTCGCTGGTTCTTTGCGTTTCACAGTCTTTCCCGTTGCGGTGGATTGTGGTAACGCAGGTGTCAGCATTGACTGGTCGTCGACATCTTCCTGATGCTCAACAGCAATTAGGAATTCGTTGATTTTCTTGGCCACGTATGTCCAATTTTCATTCTTCGAGAAGAAACATTTTGCCCACTGTTCTTCCCATTCCCACTCCTCTTCCGCATCAAACACTGCTTGTGATGTGGGGGTGTCATCTTCCAAACCATCGGGAACTTCTGTCATGAGAACATCGGGTGGTCGAGCAGCTTGTAGACGTACTAGGACCAGGCCACGATACTCGCTATCTTTCAGGACAATGCGAATCATATTTTTCTGATAATCTTCATATTCGCTGATGATAATGTAGTGGCTACCACCTTTCTTGCAGGTCTTCAGACTTTCATAAACTGTACGAAGCTGATCGACCGTCAACATAAATTTCATTTTGTATAAATTTTTATCACCCGATTGCGTAGGTGATGAAGAGGCGATGCAACATTTTTCATTCCATCGTTCATACCATAACATTTTTTTTGTTCTGTTCTGGTACGCCCCTAATTCTGTAACGTGTGAAGCATTTCGCTTCTCATACATCTCAACGCCCGATACCGATATCTCTTGTTGTGGTTGCGCCATCTTTACAATGTGTAAATGTGCTGCCAGGATTTTGCTACAGCATTTTATAGACAGCGAAACCAAGTCCGACAAGCAGCGCGGTATTTATCAAAAATTCTTTTGCAATTACACCCCTAATATGGTCACATATCTTATTATAGATATCGGTTATTTTAGTGAGGAAAAAACATTTATTTTCAGAAGATGAAAATACAATATGACCATATAAGGTCACAAGTGTATAGGATGCAGCTAATAATCGATAATATCCCGAAATACCGGTAAAAGAATCATCAGCCACTAAAATCAACATTAAATCACAACATTCCGTCTTCCTACCCCCACACTTGTGCAATATCTTTTGAATAGGTCCGCCATATATTTCTAGATAACGTGTCAGTTCCTCATGAAATAATTCCCTTACATATTCACTTTTATTGTCTACCAAACCACACCACGACGTTGTTGTATAACGTACCATTTAGAAAACAAAAAAAATATAACACACGCACACACATGTTTTACAACTAATGGGCTATATACGCACGCGCAACATATATATATGCGCGTATATAATAAGCGGTAATACACTATCGTCAATAATCATATTATCAGTTAAAAATCGTTTTCGAATACCGTTAATATTACGTGCATAACACGTCCCATAAAGCCATTGTATATAAAACACAAATTGTACAATTCTATTCATTTCCCGACTACCCCCAAGTCGAAGAACATCGGCTCCAGTGAAAATATAATGTTCTGTCGTTTCAACCTCACCCCGTTGTAAGATAAGTACTACATTATAATAGCAATCTGTTCGCCGCGTAATATTGGCTTTTAACACATATGAAATAGGGTATAGAATACCCATATGTAAAAATGTAAATTTATATCGTAACAAGTATTTTTTCTTTTTTTGTTTTTCAAAAAATAACTTATTTCTCCTCAGCCCATGTGGGTAGTTATTTTTCGTAACATCCATCTATTGGTCACTTGTATCAGCATAGGGTTCTGTTGTATCTTCATAAATTGTCACCTTTTTCAACACCGCTAATCCCTTCATAACATTATATAACCGCGTAGTAATATAAATAGAGTCAGGTAGATAGGTATGTGTTATATGTCGTCTTAACATTGCATCGTTTAAACCCCTTGCCGCACCATCTCTAAACAAACAAAAAAGTCTTCGTAAAGCATCGATACGATTGTTTGAATATAGTACGTAACCCCCGTTTAGACGTTGTGTAATTACATCTCTTTCGGGTAGTATTGAAAACTTGCTACGGATATAACCATCTGGATAACCAAGATAAAGTATATATTCATCCACACCAACTCTAACACAATCGTAATGATAATTTACCTCTGTAAGTACATTGTCATACAAAGCAGCGGAAAACATTCGCTTACCCTTTAGATAACGTTTATCATCCCACACATTCATAACCCCAGTCGTATTGTTTCTCATATTTTAAATTTGTCAAATTTTGACAATAATTATAATTTGAATAGGGTATTGAATTAAGTGCGTACCAGATTAGATCGTCTTTGAACCATATACCATAATATTTAATCAAATAATAGTTAAGCTGCGTTTGACGATAATCCAACGTATTTTTGTAATGTAAAAATGTATAATTACACTGTTTAAAAAACTCTTCCAACATATGTTTTAAAGCATTGTCTTCGTCCTGACCAAAACGGCGCCAACCAACCGCTGTGATAGTAAATTCTGGAGAATCTAATTTTTTTTTATCACCCGTCGTATATATCGCCCGTGACAAAAATAGTCCACTTCGAAACATACATAATCAGTAGTACATTCTAATAATTTTAAAAAACGTAAATTCACACAATAAATTTGGTCGTTGCACAAAAGACGTCGACGTTTCATTGTTGGAAAAAATAAAAAATCATTCTATCTTCAAACCCTGTTATCTTCAAACCATATTTGGGTATTGCAATAAAATTGTGAAATTCGTGGGAATCTTTCCGATATTACGTCTACTGTAATTTAATACGTTTTTAAAAGTCTATATAAAGTGGCATTTAAAATAAGCTTCGAGTAGTTCGAGGATAGCAATATCAAGTGTCGAATGGAATCTTCTGTGCTGTAAATAAGTTTCTCGCCGTATTTTTTAATCGCCCTGCTTTTTAGCTGGCGGCAAATACAAAACAAAAAAACTAACTAAATCGTCATATAAGTACATGGTCTTTTTATAAAAACAATCATTCGTTTACAAAAGCTATAAGATGGTAAACTACAGACCGAGATCACGTCGCACGCGTCAATATGGCGGGAATTTTAAAGGTGCAAAATATCAGCGTGGGAAACCAAAAAAAACACAAGACGGTGGTTTTTTAAGCAGTTTATTTGGTGGGGGGAAAAAATCAAAATCACAACCCATGAATATAAATGTAAATCAAAGGCAAGGCAATCAGGGTAATCAATCGCGTCGTTATCAGCCCTATCAGCGCCATCAACCCTATCCATACTACAGGCCACCGCCACCCCATTATTACAACCCTGCACCACGTAGACGTAGAGGTAGGAAGATGTAGGCGTTTTTTTAATAAAAACTGAACTCTACAACAACGAGAAAAGACTTTAAAAAAACATCACTTCTAATATGTAGAAAACGACGGGAAAAAAAACAACAAGGTGGTAACTTTTGGATGTTATTTTTGTAAAATACGTATTTTTCATATAAAATAAAATCTACTAACAAAATAAAACGTTTTCACATTTTGATGAGTGTCTACATATATAACATAATTTCTCTTTTTCTAATATGTATTTGAGTACAGGTTTAAAATGACATAATCGAGCTGGGTATAGTGTCAAAGGTCTTTGTTTATTTATAATCCATGTATGTATGTATGTATGTATGTTAAAGAATCCGTTTCGTGAAAACAAACGCCGCAACCGCCACCAACTTTTGGACAACTATAAACACCGTACTGATAAATACACTTTCTATCACACAAACACTTTATCGCGCTACGTTTGGCAATAATTTCAACAACCGATTCCTCAACATCGCAGCAATCTGTTCCACATACGTAAAATAGTTGTAATTCATTTGCAGCTGAACAGCCGCGCATATATGACGGTGTCGAATAACTAACACGTTTTAATACGGCTTTTGTCTGCACCCCACATTTGCAAGGATCCCGATATAACATGTAGAAAATGTACTCTTCGATCTCGTTCATAATACACACGTACGTCATAGACAATTCACTTTCGGCTTCAATTTGAAATCCACAAAAATACACCCCCAATTCGCTGCGGGTATAATGTTTATCTTGACAAACATAATAAGCGCTTTCATTATACGTTATCAGACTGACATATTCATCACAACAACATTTAATTTTTTCACATGTGACTTTTTCACAACCAATTTTCCACGCTTTACACACGTTGCAGTCACAGATCACCATGATTTGTGATTACTTTTTTCCTCTAACCTACTACTAATATACACACACTTTTTTTACCCCTATGACCAAATATAGTCATACGCATATATTTTACTTAAAAAATTGATCTTTATTGCTATAAAAATAA